CCCTTTGTTTTCCAGTTCTGGCCCTTCATACAGCTCGCCAACTTTTACCTTGTACCCCTGAACATGCGCGTCGTCGTCACGCAAATCGCCGGCCTCTTCTGGAATTCGTACCTCAGCTACAAGACGCAAACCAAGCTCGATGTCTAGTTTGTAATAGTCAGTTTCTTTGTTAGCACTTTTTAATATTACAGGTTACTATCCCTAGAATTCCCCCAGAAAACGTGTGATACGATTCGATTCTCGTCTCCTCCCCGTGATGAGCTTGTTCTGATAATGCCCTGCCCCCTCGTGGACTTTCGACTTTGCTAGCCCCCCGAAAAACGGGTTATTGTTATTTGTGTGTTTTTTTGTGGCTAATAAACTAAAATTCGTAGCATTTCGGTGATATTGGTTTTTTCTCGCGGCGCTGTCGAGATCGATGTCTCTGCGCTCTTATCGCGCGTTAGGGCTATCAATCTGATAGGCTCATCACCGTTTCGCCGGGGTCTGGGACGGCGGCTGGCTGAATGCCAAGTAATAAAATTAAGAAAATTCGGCACTGAACTGTTAGCGGTGGGGGGGTAATTTTTTAATTTATTGCGCCGATCCCTGTTGCTAATTTTTTGTGTGTTTTTATAGCTTTTTTGGAACTTTTGATTGCTAGGAAATTATACAAAAGTTTAACCTTTTCAAACGCTGTACAAATTCCAACGATTTTGGGCGTTATCCATACGGTCTTGACACTCCAAAAGTCACTTCTCGACAATCTTTATAATTTTGATATGCGTTTTATAACTAAAAATTGTGCAAAATGTTTTGAAACAGATCTGTGTTTGATCATACTACCATACGAAGATTGCCCCTGGCTTGTATTGGGGGCCCCTAAAGCGCCACAAACTCTTTTTTTCCTTTAATTTCACGCGCCAAATTAATTGCTTTTCATGGGGAAGTTTCTTAACTTTTAATTTAACTGTTTTTTAAGCATTTTCTTTGCATTTTCACAGCTTACCCTAGTATTTCTTCATAGCTCTTTTCAGCGCCACCTGCAATTTTATGGGTACGCGGCCCCACCCACTCATATGATCGTCAAGTGATCCGGATGCAAGCCGCCGAGCGCCACCTTCGCCCTCCGACCCCCATTTTGCGAGCCGTTGTCTCGTGCGTGTTCCGTCTTGTCCGCACAGTCGCCACAGCAGTTCCCCAAGAGACGCCCGCCAAAATGAGCCCGCACGAATCGAACCATGCGCTGTATCAGGTAGGGAATTTTGGCTTTTATATGCTCTAGTTGCAAAGTATGAGTTGATGCTTGTCGTGCTCGTTAGACGATAGGTTCTGGGTTGTTAGCGGGATGGGGGGAGGGGGGAGGGGGCTTTGGCCTTTAGCTACGAAGGGTCCGAATAACGAAATATACTATTTACGTAGGATTTTGCACCTTTACCATGTCTAAAAAGTCAAAATTTCACATTTTCAAAGTTTGAGATGGTTTTTTACGATTTTTTAGTAATGAAAAACTTATTGTTAGAGAAACACCATAAAACGCCATAAGCTTTTTTTACATAGACCAACTCCATTTGAATAGTCGAATTTCGCCACACTTAGTGGGTTTTCTGGCTATTACTGCTCAGTAGTGCGCCAATCACCCCCCCCAACAAGGAAATTATTTGCTTTGCCGTCACTCCCGCCCCTATTACAACGACCACTGATTGCAAATTGATGCGCGGTTCTCATTTCTCGATCTAAAAACTATTTTAAATCGCGAATTTAATTTCTCTATAGTCGCTGATGGTTTGTAACGTCCCATTATATCAGGTCCGACCTTTTCATCTGAAAAAGTAGCTGGCGAAAGAATTTTTCTGACATAATTAATTTCTTAACACTTATCACTTTCAGGCAGCCATCTCGCGGCTCAACTCGTTGCAAACAAACACGCAGACGCTGGAGAAGCTGCGCGAGAAGCGCCACCTTTTCCAGGAAAGCAACGTGCCTGAATGCGTGGAAATTATGCGAAAATGCGGCATCGAGGTTAGCTAGGTTTCGATTTTTCTTAAGGATTTTTAGCCCGAAGACATCAATGGGTTGAACGTGATTCACGTCAGTGGCACGAAAGGCAAAGGATCGACGTGTGCGTTTGTCGAATCAATGCTACGATCTCTTGGCTACAAGACGGGGTTTTACAGGTGAGACGCTGATTCTTTTTTTGAAAAACCCGAAATTTAGTTCTCCGCATCTGGTACACGCGCGAGAAAGGATCAGAATAAACGGGAAGCCGATTTCGGAACGGGCCTTTGCTGAGAATCTCTTCAGCGTTTACGACAGAATCGTGAAAGCGGTAAGTTTTCATTTAGCTAGCTTTTAGCTGATCGAGCTTTTAGGTCCAAGAATCCGACCACCTCTCCATGCCAGCGTATTTCAAGTTTTTGACGATCCTGGCATTCGACGTCTTTGTGCGCGAGAAAGTTTGCGATGCTATACATATAATAAAAATTTTGTTTTAGGTCGATGTTGCGATTATCGAGGTCGGCATCGGCGGGCAGTACGATTGTACGAACGTCATCGAGTGAGTTGATTTTATAGATTTCTAGCTAGATCTTTCAGAAAACCTATCGTTACGGCCATCACTACCCTCGACTACGATCACACCTCGTTGCTGGGGAACAGTTTGAAAGAAATCGCGTGGCATAAGGTTGGAAAATTAAAAAACTTGAATTCTGTGGTTTTAGGCAGGGATTTTCAAGTATGCCGCCCCGGCCATCGTCTCTGATATCGCTCCAGTTAGCTACGAAGTGATGCGAGCGAGGGCAAAAGAAAGACAAGTAGGGAATCCTAATTATTAACTAAAAGATTATATGCATTTTCTTAACTGCGGATCTTTCGTTGTGTGGTGTAAACCATTTTCGGGCTTTTTAGCTGGGTGAGCGGGAGCTTTTTTGACTTTTGGCTTGATAAAGGGCTCCAGTTTTTGGCTATTTAGCCTGAACGAGGCGGTTTTAGGCGAAATAATTGGAATATAAAGAAATAAAGGTTAAAATAAGTTAAAACTTGTAAAAGGTTCAACGTTAAAAGTTCTGTTCTTTCAGGTTTCCACACTGGCCATCAGCCCGCCCCTCTCTTCCTACGATATCGCCCAGGATCTGCATGCCGGAATCGCCGGTTTGATGCTCGTAATTATTTTTACTTTTCCTTTCAGGCGAGCACCAAACGCACAACATTTCGCTGGCGCTGCAGGCGGTCAGGACATGGCTGGAACGGATGGGAACAGGTATCACCCCCCTTCGATTGTTTGACTGATACTTACTATTCTCGACAGGTGATCAGCGCCAACCGGAAAACAATGATTGTATGGCCTTGGCGTTGAACAACAAAACAAAGATCATTTTAGGAAATACGTGAAAAATGGGGTTTTTTGAGGCTGAAAAAGCGGTATTTTTGGAAATTCTAGCTTTTGGCAGATTTGATGCGGTTCTTTAGTATTGCTTTAGGCGGGCGCACTTTTTAGTAAAATTCTGTATATTTAAAGTGGAAACCTTTTTCGATGATTGAGAAGCTGTTGAAAAATCTAAATTGTCGACGAAAAAGAGTGAATTTTGGCCGTAAAACGGATATTTTTGTATTTTTAATAGTTCTTTCTAAATGGCTTGTGCAAGGTTGTAAGTTTCCTTAAGACAAAATAGTTTATGAAAGCTTTCCCCTAAAACCGCTGGTTCAGGAGACATTTTCGCGGAAGAACGATGGTGTTTCCGGGAAGCCGTTCAGCGTGCCAAAAGTTTTGCTGCAGGCTATAGAGTCGTGCCACTGGCCGGGCAGGAGCCAGGTATGGAATTTTTGCCTTCATTCGTTTCTTTATAATTTTAGGTCGTCCACTCGAACATTGGCAACTTTTACCTCGACGGTGCGCATACGCCGAAATCTATCGAGGTAGCTGTCCTCCGAAATTTCAAAAAGGAAATTCAGATGTGCGCCGCCCGGTTTGCGGGTGCGGTTCCGGAAAAGAAGGCCGACTGCAAGAGGGTGCTGCTTTTCCATTGTACAGCCGATCGGAAGCCCGAGACGTTGTTGCCTTATTTGAAGGTTGGTGAAATACTAAAGAGAAAACGCGGAATAATGAAACCAAGGTTCTTTTTCTAAAAATCCTCCCTGCCTGCTAAAAATCATCCCTCCCCGCAAATGAAAAGACCCAGACGCGCGTAAATCCAAATATATCTTCTAAAATCCGGCATTAATATACTAACTTTCAGCCCCTCCACTTCGACTACGCTCTCTTCTGCCCGACGGTCGTCAGCCGGACACAAGACGGAAAATCCGACATGACCAACTTCAACCAAAACGTCGAGCAGGCCTGCAAACGCAGCATCGAGGCCAGCGAGACGTGGACGACAATTGATTCAAATACGGTGAGTAGACCCTTTAAAACTTGAATCTACGATATTTCCAGGAATGCCACACGTTCCCCTGCATCCAATCGTCAATCCGCTGGCTCGAGCAACAACACCAACCCGGGCAACTCGACGTGCTGGTGACGGGCAGTCTGCACCTCGTCGGCGGTGTGTTGTCCCTTGTCGACCCGGAATCTGCCGTTTAATTATGTTTTTTAAAGTTTTTTGCTTTTCTACTTATTTTGTGATACCTCTTGCTCAATTTCCCCCGATTTTCGCACTTTCTAGGGATACCTCTTGCTCAATTTCAACGGTTTTCTCGCCTTGTGTGTTGTGAAAACAGGCCCGTAAGGCATATCTGCTACTCCCAAACCAACGCGGCTTTTTTAGTTTTTCCTGCCGATTTTGTGATACCTCTTGCTCAATTTCCCGACTTTTCTCACTTTCCTCACATTGCCTTTGCTCGTTGCCCATTGTTAGACGGGTTTTATCATCGATTTTTTTGTATGGATATTTAGTGTTAGGTTGACGATTTTTTGGACAATAAATACAAGATCTTTTTGCAAACTCAAAAAAGAGAAGATTCGGCATTAAATAACGAAAATGTAGGGGAGCATGAGAATCGCCTCCCGTCATTTTAGCCGGATGTTATTATCGATTTTTTGATGGATATTTAGTGTTAGGTTGCTAGATTTTGGGCGAGAAATAAGTTATATTTTTCAAACGGAAAATGGATATAATTAGGGAGTCTAAAAGAGCCGGAAAATCGCCTACCGCCGCCACCGCGGGCGACAACTGGCTGGTTTGGGGGCGCCGGGCCCGCAGGCTGATATCGCCCCTCTCGCCGCCACCCCCCAGCGGTCCCGTGGTGTAGCGGTTAGCACTCAGGACTCTGAATCCTGCGACGGGAGTTCAAATCTCCCCGGGACCTTCCCTTTTTGCTTTTTGTGGATAAGTTAGAGGATCGGCCACGGAAGCTAGTTTGATGAGATTTAGCGGTTGAAACCCGAGGTTTACAAAGGTTTTTGGGGTGTAAAACGGCAAATATTCCCTTGTAGAGTTTAATAACGTAATAATAAGCGTTAATGGTGTTTTTAGTAAAATTTAACCAATCAGTAGGAAAAGTAGGAACACAATCAGAAGAAACCTTGGAAAAAATGTAGGTGAAATTAAGGTCGAAAAATCGATATGTTTTTAATTTTTTTCTAAAAGTTTGTATCGAAGGACCGCAAGTTTTTGTATCGCGCTATAAATCTTGAACCCCTAATTTTATTCATTGTAAATAGAAAAACAAGGGGACATGTCTATAGACGACAAGATTTTGACGCCGGGCCAGCTCAGCGCCGAGAAATTACGCATTAAAGCGACATTACGGAACGGTTTTTGCACAACCATCCCATCGAACTCCGCTAGTGCCAAAATCCGCCCAGTAAATAATGACTAATTGATGATCGTCAACGAAGAGTGGCCAAGGTGCTGCCGGCGCTGACAGTTGATCTTCAAGCAGGGGGCGAGAAATTGAAACGGCTTCTCCGGTGGTCTAATATTTGCCAACTGACTTTCCCCTCGGGTTTGAGGTCCATCGGGTACGGGGGCATAAATAGACGGGTGGACGGTAACCGACGGTCATCTTTGGCTTCTTCTCATTTTGCTACTTGAAGCCTCCTAATATCTGCGAGGGATGCTGTGGCAATTGTGCGCGGCCACGGCGGCCGTTGTCGGTTGGTTTACATTGATATTTTAATACGTGAAAAAACTAGAAAAGCGGGATTTTTTTTCATACTGCCTGAAAACGGAGTCATCGAGCTATTTCCTTAAATATACTTCATTATCCGATTGCAGGCGTGCTGCTTGCCTACCCGATCGGTCAGGGCGCGGTGCCGGTAGGTTGCAACACTTGCAATTTCGCCGTCGGGCAATGGGGACAGTGGGGTCAGTGGAGTGGATGTCAGACGAACACCTTTGGACGTGAGACAATTTTCTAAACCTTTTTGGAGTAAGGAATTCGTGCTGGTGGATGGTAATGTGAGGAAATGCGCGGGAAAAAGCGAAAACTTTTTTTTGAGAGGTTTTACGTCGCGGGGATTTTTTGATAGCTTGATTATAAGATAAAAAATAAAGAGACCACTAACGGCATTGTGCTATTCTCAAGCTTCCGGTAGAATTTTCTGGAAGTCTTTCGGAATGGAACGGTCCAGTTTAAAAGCTCTAACAAAGCAAAAGCAGCTTGAGACACATTAGTTCCTCTAAATAACCAAAGGAAACAATCGGCGCATTGTGAAACGTTTAAAACCGCTCAAAAAATAGTTTACTGACAGAAACTTTGTAAAATTTACTAAAAATTCTCGAACCCCGATTTTTCAACCGCCTCCTAGCCCTTATTCCCATCAAACAGTGCAATGGCTCGAACCTAGAAATTGTATCAGCAATTTGGCCATTAAAACTCGGCCCTACAGAGCAAGTGATGACGCGTCGTCGGCAATGTTCAACGACGTACTGTCCGGAAGGGGTGGCCGAGGAAGAGAGTTCTTGTGTTCAGAGTGCGCCGTCGCCATCGCCATCCGTAGCCCAGTGGGGACAGTGGGGTCCGTGGAGCGCTTGCAGGTTTGTAAAAGCAAAAATATGCTGTTTCTAATCTTAAAATATCCTACTACATTATACGTGGGCAAAAAAAAACGAGAAAAAATCCTAAACGATACCTAGAAAGGCTCCAAAAGCGCTTTGCTAGGGCGTAAATAAGTTTTTGGGGGCCCGTGAGCTTGTTCAAACTTATAAATACACAAAAATATACTATTTTTAAGCGTAAACACTATAATATCACATTATTTGGAGTTAATCTGGCTAGAAAATCATCTAAACAGCACTAGAAAAGGTCCCAAACAATTTTTTTCTGGAAGAAACGAAGTTCTTTAGAAAAATAAAATCTTTGATATAAATATATACAAAATAGCTTATAAAAGTTTATCTGCATTTAAAAAGCCCCAAATCCCTTTCTGATTTGTACAAAACACTACTTTCGACTTTTATTAACGGACAAAAACTTACCATAATGCCAAAAATTTTTTGCAATTTGATTTTCCAGAAATAATACTCCCATTCATCTAAACGATTGTATAATTGACCCTAGAATCAGAAACATTTCTCATCCCCCAAAAAAAGTGCAGTCGGAAGCGCGCCGATCGCAGGCGTGTGTGCAGGCTGGTGTAGGGGCGGGCGGCCCTTGATAGGACTCCCCGTCACGCCCCCACCCGTCGGTCCCATGGTGTAGCGGTTAGCACTCAGGACTTTGAATCCTGCGACCCGAGTTCGAATCTCGGTGGGACCTATCCTTTTTGCTTTTTGGGGATAACTTGTGAGATTGGTAGTTAAAGCTATTTTGATGCGATTTAGCTTTTGAAATTGGAATTTTACAAAATTTTGGAGTGGAAAACGGGAAATACATTATGTCAGTGGCAAATCGGCAACAAGCAGCGTTTTAAAAAGTAAAAGTCATTTAAGAAGTTAGTTTACTAGAATTTACTAGAATAAATGCCTTATATTCCCAAATGCCAAATTTTCCATCGGATAAAATTTAAAAATCAAGAAGAAAACCTCCATTTTTAGCGCCACATGCGGAGGCGGTTACCAAACTCGTAGCCGTACGTGCGGATGCGGCGTTTGCCAATGCCAAGGACCCAGCACCGAACAGGAAGCTTGTAACACACAGGTATTTATATTTTCTAGGCGTTTTAACGTGTTTTTTTTAGGCTTGCCTAGGCTGCAATACTTGCCCCCAACCGGCCCCAGCCCCTGCCCCGGTCTGCAACACCTGCTACAATCCGGTACCGGCCCCGATTCCGGTTCCAGCTCCGCAACCCGCTCCGGTAAGTTTTATTGGCTGTTTTAGAATATAAAACCACTTTTATTTTTCTTGAAAATGGTGGTAAAACGATTCAAAATCCGCGGACTGCGCCACAGGCTCCTTTTTGACTTTGGCAACGGAAATAATGGATTTTATAAGTTGGGAATAGGTTCTAAAAGTAAACCACGTTGTAAAAAGTAAAGCAACGGCCTATAACGTGAGAATACCTTTTAAATTTACTCCGGAAGCGCTAACGACTGATTTTCAGCCACTTCCATCGCCTGCGCCGAGTCCCGTTTGCAGCAACTGCAACCCGGTATGTGAGAAAAAAAATCATCAGCAGGAAATATATTATAAATCATCATAACTAGCACTTTTAAACTTTTAAGGCAGAAAAAGGCTTTGTTTTGTTAGAAAAGAAAGCTATAAATTTGTTGGAACCGACGAAAATGCCTGATTTCCGACGCGATGCGAAATTTTTTTAGTTTGTTAGGTGCCAGTATTTGATTAGAGAGAAGCAACAAGTCGAAATTTACTTTAACAGTAAATATACCTTTCAGGTTCCGGCCCCTTCACCATGCTCAACTTGTGGCCCGCCTCAGCCCTTCTACAACCCCTACAGCAACGGGCGCAAGAAGCGCGAGCTGCTCGTCAGCCAAATGCGTCCCAACGCCACTGTAAACCACTAAAAAAAAACTATGTTTTTATACCCTCTAAATTACAACAAACTCTTATACGAATTATTTTTTGCAGGGATAAATTCTAGCACGACATTTTTTCCATTTCGCCTACTCAAGTCATTGTATAAGTATCGATTAGACGGGTTTTCTCGCTCACCTTTGTATACAAAACTTTCGAATATCACTGTCATTTCTTTCTTTCTCTCACTCTCCTTTTCTCGTTCTCTCCCAAACCGTTAAAATGTCTATTTGTGCTCGATAAAGAAACTGACGCCTCTCATCATCGCTGCCCATGACCAACTTGGTTATTTACTTTTACGAAAAGCTGTCAAATGCACGAGAAAGACTCGCGAAAAAAGACGAAAAGCTGTAGACGTGAAATTCTCCACTTATCCCCAAGCTGGCTTCAAAATTCGAGAAACGGTATGGGTTAGGGGGATTATCGAGCATTATATTAAGGTATAGACACAAAGTACTTGAAAAATCTCCAAAGACCAGCACAAACTTGGGGTAAAATTTGAAAATATAAACAATTTTGGCCATGCTGGAACTGTTAATTATAATGATTAAGCTTGCGCGTTTCCCAAATGGTCTCTGCTAGCTTCTCTGGCGAATGTTACTTCGATTTTACAGATTCATCGTTCAGCAAGGCTTTGTAAGTTTAAAATGTCCATTTAAATTCGTGTTCTGGTGCTATTTCGTGGATATTTGAAGCTTTCCAGCGTTTGCGGAGCGCCCTACCCGGGTTCCGAAACGGCCTATGCAAAATTCAGCGCTTCCGTCGAGATTTTCGAGTCCTCTGCGCGGCACCTGCTCGCGTATTAGCCATTCAGCTGGGAAGTCTTTGAACGTTGTTCTGGAAGCTTTTATGCGGTCTAATTAAAGTATTTGCGACTAGACAACCTATTAAAAAGCTAAGCTGTTTCGAAAACAAAGTACAAGCTTCATAATCCTAAAAATTTTACTTCCGTTTCTCCCAATTGATGAAAATGGAAGGATTGGAAGAATCTACATTGTTTTATTAGCGTACCAGCGCCCAAAACCCGCTTCGCGGGCCTTGGGCGCTGGAATGGTGCGTTTGCATGAGAAATTTGACTTTCCGGTAGCTCGGGTCCTTCGGACCTCCCCCCTCACCACACGCGCGCGTGCAACTCGCAAGAATGAGGAAATTTGTATTTTTTCACATTGTGCAAATTACCCCCAAAAATGAATAAAACCGGCTTTTACTTTGTAAACTTGTATTTTATCGAAATTCTGAGTACGCCATCGGAAACAGAAGAGTCGATTCCCCTCAGTGACGAAGAATTAGGACATTTTATGCATGGGAAGGCCCTCAGATCGGGCCTCGAAACTGACATCCACACACAAAGACACGCCAAAATTATATAAGGTAGGAAAAATTATATAAGGTAGGATTTTAAACCATTTAAGTGCTTGCCTAATGTAAGATCCTTTTAAGGCTTCGTTAGAGATTCAAAGCCTCATCCCAGCTTCATAAACTTGGTTCCCCTCCGCATCCCGTTAATGAAAAAGTCTCAACCTCCCCTTCTGGCCCCTAATAAGCCCTCCTCTGCCACCCATACAGCTGCACAAGATCATTCTCCACATCTGCACGAGGGAGCATGAGTTAGAGAGAGAACTAGAGATAGAGAGACGCTGCTGGTGGGTCAATCTGAAAATCTCATTTCGCCATATCCCCCTCCAGCCCTTCCCTAGCCGGGAGGAGGACGCTATTCTTGACACATCGCACTGGGACCCCGTTTTTGGGATGTTATCTAGATTTGCTGGGTTTTTCTGGTTTTCGCATTTTCTTAAGTTTTGTGTGCACATAAAATTTTTTTTCTCAAATACTCCTTTTATTTCTTTTTAAATTAGCTTCGGAATTTCGAGTTCTGGAATAGTTAATTTCTCTCTCGCTCTCTTGCTTTCTCGCTCTCTTTTCAGCTCTATCTATCTCTCTCTCTCTCTCTCTCTCTCTCTCTTCTCATTCTCCTTCTCTTTCTCTCCGTCGCTCTCTCTAACTCTCGCTATCTCTCTCTCCCCCCTCTCTCTCTCTCTCTCTCTCTCTCTCTCTTTCTCGCCATCTCTCTCTCTTTATCTCCCTCTCTCTATAATTCTCCAACTCTCTCTAATTCTCCCTCTCTATCTATCTCTCCCTGTCTCTCTCTCGCTCTATCCCTCTCACTGCCAAGCTCGAGTACGCACCACCTAACCTAATCAGGCTCAAATTTTGGCGCGACTCCATGTTCCGCGATCCTCAGATTTCACATGACACCCCCACTAGGTTTCAGTGCCAAAGACGACATTTTAGGCGGACACCGCTGGATGTTCTATGCTTGTCTGGCCACGCTATTCTGTCTGATTGTCGGCACAACTGGAATCGCCCTCAGCCTCATCGATATCGATCGGTAATTTAAATGGATTAAGCAGCTCTAGCTCTTTCTTTCTCTCTCACTTTCTCTCTCACGCTCTCACTTCTAAAGCTCTATCTTTCTCTCACTTTTCCGATAGTAATCGATTAATCATTTTAGCTACAATTTTGGACTCTATTTGGCTCTCCTTTCCGTGGTCGGAGCCACCGTATCCGTGGCCTTTTGGATCATCTCGCCAACGATTTGCGCCAATCCGCGTTGTGTACAGGGGATCGTAGATAGGTGCGTTTTGTACTTATTTCGGACTCTTTGATCGCCGATTTTATGATTTTAGAAGGAATATAAGAGGAAAATTCCAATTGCAGATACGGCTACAAGCTCGACCCTCTACGCAACTTTACGACAAAACATTTTGGGCAGACGCGAGGTGAGAATTTGGAGGTTTATAAAGCCAAAAAGGTCAGATGAAAGTCGCTTGAACTGTTCAAATCGTCTAACCAGTGTAATTTTCAACGCTATTTAATCCAGAGAAGCGTGTTAGGCTGGTGAAACCGAAGCTTCTAAAACTGTTTATTTTGTATTTCCAGGCTACATCAGAATAAATAAAAGTAAGCCATATAATCCTGATAATCGCATAAACCATCCCCGGTTTTTTGTTGAAGCCAACCCCGAAAAACAGCATAGGGTTCGGTTCATTAACTTTTTTTAGAAAGTCGCCGCGAGAAAATGCGAACGCAACGCCGGGAGCTACTCGGGGTTGAGCCAAGGGATGTGGCGGAAAGTCGATTCCGGAAAAAGAAGTCAAAAAGGTAAAAAAAATAGTGGTTTCAAAGCTTCATCAATTTATTTAGAAAATCCGCGCAATCTCGAGGAGACGACTCGACGATGGGCACGGTAAGTTGGTGTATTTTGTACTGTACTGTCTTGTTTTAGCAGCCAGTCTTAATAATTAGGCCTGGCATTTTCTAGATTTTCTGACTATGTTTTATAAGAAAATAAATAGGGATTTCTAGGCCCTGCTCTCCGAAGAACACCCAGGTCCTCACCAAGATCTAGATGAGGGCCAAAACACGTCTTCAAGTGGCTACTACTCTCCTAATCAGGTATTTTTTATTATTGTTAGTAGTTCGGAAAATTTACTTCCATGGCTTACTAGCTAACGAACTTGTCTTTCCGCGCCCGCGACACGCGACGCATCCGCCCTGGTCAATTAACACATAATGTCGTTATGATCCAACTTCAATAAAGTTTGATTTCATTGATACGCCTTTCCAGACAGTGGCGCGACGCAGTGACGGGGATGTTGAAGCGGGCAATCTAACGCAGGTGAGTGTCATCTTTCCGCCAATACATCTTTGCTGCTTGCAGAAAATTGGTGACAAATCGGCGGTGGCGCCGCGGATCCCGAAATTGGTCGTCCATCAGGTTGAGGTGAACCTGAAAACGCAAGCCAAGATTTTTGGATATTCAGGACGAGCTCTTCTCACAATGAAGCCGTGGATTGAGTCGCCAAAAAATTAAAAAAGAAACTACGAATAAATTTACCAATTTTAGATAGAGGAACTTATCGTAATTGAAGGGTTTGTTCGCTTGTTATTGTACATGACCATGGATTTCGTGACAATGGATTTCCAAAGGATTTGTCGAACCTGCGATACGCAACGCGTCCCCCCTCCCGCTTGCGTCGCGTGATGCACCAAGATTTTTGCCAATGGAAAGGACGCGCTGCGTGTCGCGGGCGTGGTAAAAACCATGCTAAATTCATCTTAGCCCGGCCTTCGTACGATTTTTTGCGCCGCCATACGTAACGCGCGCACATCGCGGCTGATAGGTACGCAGAAAAGGGTCGTAATCCCCTACGCCTGGGAAAAGCGTGCGTGCGCGTTGAGTCGCGCGAGCGAGCAAAACCCAGAGAGAAATTTAGCGCAGGGATTTCTACCATTTTTATCACTGCGCGGTACGTAACGCGCACCGTTTGGCCGCCATAAATGCCACGTAATCGACTCCGTAAGTTAGAAGTAGACGTACGCGTTGCGCATAGCTCTCAGAATCAAGAGACCAATGCTAGAGCTCTAGAGCCAAAAAATGCATCATCTTCATCTTGCATCTTGCACGTCCCTTTAAAGTGATTCGAAAGGCTAACATCCTGCCATATAACCAAAGAATAGACTGCTGAATTTTAATAAACGCTACAAAAATACAAGTACCCTGCCAATTCTAACCTTTAGCTTCCTCATGAAACTCGTCGCCGAGTGCACAGCTATAGGTGTAATTCGCTAGGCCGACCCCCTCGGATTTGGGCCGTTTAAAGCTGGGCGCGCGGCTCGGGGTTTTGACCCGAGTTTGCGCGCGCGGGGGGTTAAAAGAGCTTTTCAATGGAGCCGGGTAATCCCTACGCGACGATCCGCTTCGAACAATCCGCCCTCCACCACGACGACCCCAAATGGACAACTTTCAAGCTGGGTGTTGTTTGGCTGCCATAGCTTTGTTTGTTTCTGGGAAGGGCTTCAGCTGGATTTCAGAATTTTCTTCTCGAAGCAATCGACAGTTACCTTCTCATTCATATTACCAATATACCTTGACTTTTGTTAGGATATTATCGGCTTAAATCACCGATTTTTGAAGTCAGCTTTACGATCGGTACACATCAAATACCGACCAATCACCTGCTGGTGTCAATTTTACAGGATGAAATCAGGATGCCGCCTGCATTGACGATAATTTGCAGCTCTAATCCTCCAGTACACTCCAGTATAATCCTCCTCCCCTCCATGCTCTTCATAAGGTCAACCAGGTGGCTGGTTGGCTGTTTAGCTGTGCCCTCAAGGGTCATCACAAACCGTTTAAAGGGCGCTTCAAGGGGCCTAAATCTACGCCCTGGTAATGCAGTAATTTGCACGGCTTCAAAAGGCTTGTTGATATCCTTAGCAATTCTTTCATGCAGATCATTCAGGTTTTTCTAGACAGATTTTCCGTAGATTACAAAATTCCAGTTATTCATTTTTTAAGGCCAAACATTCTCCTCACCTTTATCTAACGTAAATTCAAATGTCCTCGTCTGCCCTGATTTCTGGTCGGTTACTGTATGTTCATAATTTTTAATTATTCCAATTTCATAGATCAAAATTCGTCTATAGCTTAAGTGCTAAGCTAACAATAAGGCTATAAATGGTTGTGAATTCAAATTCCTCCGTCTCCTCTGCCCGTTTATTGTTAGACATGCAGCTCACCTGTTGCCTATTGTGTGCCCCCCTTCCGGCTGGATATCTAGCTGCTGCTCGGGGGGCTCTAATCCCAATCTCGTAATCGGACTCCTTCACCTCCCCCTCCCCTGCCTTGCCTCCAGCTGCACCTGAATTTCTGATGAGCCATGAGGAGGAGGAGGAGGGCGAAGATGGAGAGGGCATGAGAACAACAGATTGGATATCGTCCTTGCTACTCTTTTATCATGGTCATACCATATCGATATACCTAGCTATCCAAGTCTTCTACAGCATGCGGTCCAATCTAGCACTAGTCTTTTAAAGTATCTTAATTTTTACAGCCCTTGCTGATTTTTACAGCTCTCTCGCTCACTCTCTCTCTCTCTCTCTCTCTCTCTCTCTCTCTAGCCTATCTTACCCTATCTCTAGCGTCTTTCCCACTCGCTGGTTAAGCGTCATCGATTCATACGCATTTAAAAAGATTCATACGCACCAAGAATTTTAAAATCGACTCCCACTGTCGCCTAGGTGTAGACTAAGCTACACACGGCTTCAAATTACGTTCCACTAGGTGTTTTAGGTCCTTACAAACTTCATTTTGATAAAATCAAAACGCGTTTCTCTGTGTAATTTGAAGCGGAACGTAGCTGACGAGGCCTAGCCTATACAGAGGTCGATTCTATCACGTTCCAATGCCTTCAAATTCAAGCAACGAATTTTGAGACGCCCTTAAGATCTTCTCAATCTTAAAATCTTGCATAGATCAGGCGCAGGATATTTTCCAGACACCCGGAACCACTTTTTACAGAGGCAGACAAGGGTGGCAGGCTGCAGCAACCGACCACCTGAAATTTATTATTCACACCACAACTTCCTCAACCTCTCACAATTCTCAATCAAAAATATGGGCCGTCAAATTACGCGCCCCTCCAAATCACATGGGTTTTCCGCCTGAAATCCTGATTTCGCCCTTAGTGTTTCACCTGACAACTTTCGGCCAATTTTTTCTGGTGACCCCCGAGCCTTCTAATTGAATAATTATCGGTCATTACAAGCATTTTTTGAGGTGAAAAAGTTGATCGAGGGCCCCGAGAGGTTTTCAGGCGGCAGGTGTACGCGGTGAAACCCATTGACGTGGGGGTTGGGGCTCCCCGGAAAACAGGTGATATCGTGTTTTTCACGAAGCCTTGATCCAGCTGGCCCACCTGAACTTAATGGCACGCTGATGTGCGCTCGAAAATGTGTAGTTTCGAGGAAGATCGGGGGATTGGAAGTGGCACGTTGAAATTGACGAGGAGGCTACGAATCTTGAGGCTTTGTTACAGACCAACTACGGGACGCTACGGTACGATAGAACACACTACCTTGCCACAAAGGGCGTATTTCGCAGCAGCTTACGAGCTACAATGCCCGTTTGCACGCGGAAGTATCTAACAGTCCCCTTCAGTACGCGGCAGCACACGTATGTACGCTTCAGTACGCTTCGGAGCAGACACTACAACGGACGGCAGTACGCTGCTCGACGCTACAGAGTCCTAAATACGCTCGCTCCCGCTCGCTGCCGCACGCTGCCGCACACCACAAGTACGATAGACTACACTGCAGTAAGCGACAGCACGTTTCACTACGCTAAAGGACCTGACGTTGCTCATACTTACGCTACGAATATCGATAGTGCGCTACTGCCCGCTGCATTGGGATATAAGTACGTTGAAAAACGCGGCGTTTGCAACAGTCAGCTCCTCATTCCAGGACCTCCGCAACAGTCCGCCAAAACTGGCACCGGGAGCTACCGTACTTTTAAGTACAACGTCGTGCGCTTCCGTAGGCTTACGTAGTATGCATTGTGCACTGTTTGTAGTGGTACACACAGCCCCTTGCTCAGGATTATAGTACGCTTCTATACGCTATTACATGTAAAACTCTTCCACACTTAGCTTCAATACTCTTCTAAATTTCCTGATCACCGAGAAACGTTTAATGAACGCTCCATTCAAACATCTTCTTCCCCAAAAAAACGGTACCGGCGCCAGGTGCAAAACTTTTGGCAGATAGCGATAATTGAGGACGGAACCGATGTGGTCACAGACAGACAGATCTATCGAGACGGACAGATACACATACAAGAAAAAGAAAACCAATTATCCGAGGTTGCAACGACCACCGGAAAAACAATGAACACACCAGGGAGGGGCGGGGGAGGGTTTTGAAGGGGATGGGCCAATGCGGCACAAATCTCCTGCGGTGGGCCACAGCCGGCCTGCATTGCGCAACGCCGGCGATTTGTACCCTAAATTGTGCCCCTAGGCCCACTTGATTTGACAACAAACGGAAGTCGTGAGGAATGCGCGTTTTGGGCTTGATTATAGAGAATTTATGCAGTTCTTGGCAAAAATAAACCTACCTTCGGAATTAGAGTATTCCATATTTTTCAGGAGCATGTCATAAGCTACCGTAGTTCGTGATTTGGTACCCCTTAAAATTAAGCATTATAGCCTTGATTATCGAATTCTCGCGATTTTTCGCGCAACAAAAACGCTCATAAATTCAAAGATTTTGCACGGCAGGTTCTCGATAATAAGAAAAAACCAAAAATACAGCCGGACT